TTTTAACCCGCAGACATAGTGCATGATGGACCTGGTCATTGTTGAGATAGTTATGGAAGATCAGAGAAAGCCTAGGATGGCCACATAGCACCCACTGTGTTGATTCAAAGATGGCTGGTCAGCTGGACCAGGAGGCAGTTCAGCATTACTGTTATGTAGGATTGACGTAGACCTGAGTCAGTGTTAGGTTAATATACCGGTATTTTTTTCGAACTCTAACCAGTACAGTAGTGTCAGGTGATCAGTGGCTTGGTTAGCCAGTGAGCCAATGCCATTTTGCTCAGTTTCGGTTTGATGCATCTGCATGGTTGAGGTAAAGGTAGACGCAGGGTGTAACATGCCTGGCCAGGCACTACACTGAGCTGAAGCACATACGCAGTCTCAGGAGATGTGACATCCAGGCATGAGGGAGCCAGTGCTTTAAAGTCTCATGCCCCATTGGGAGAGTCCCCAAAGATGTCTTGGGAGCGGGATGCCTTTATTGATGAGGAACCCCTATGTTGCAGATTTAGCGGATAAAGACTGTTCTGACTTTGTTGCTGTGGGCAGCCTCAGACCCAGGAGCCAGATCTAGGGCCATTGCTTTGCAGGCTTTAGCAATGGTATATTGCACAGGTGTGCCAGAGTTGGTTGACATTGTGGTCTTGTTGGTTCTACACATAGCCGGCAATTCTAAGTATGTCACCAATTCTATATTGTACTTCTTCCGTCCTAGATTAATTGTCATCTATAATTTTTGGGCATTATTCCTCCATCATGCTCGCACTTGTTTTTGTTGAAATTTTGCTTACAATTGTCCTTTTGAGTTAGGGGTACACAATAAAATTTTTAAGTCAATGCATTAAGTATTAAGTATTTTCAGTATTTTGCATCAAGGGCCTTTTATATAGTAAATCTCAATAATTGGGGTCAAAAATAACCAAAATTTACCTTCTCCTTGTGCTCAAAAGAGTTATGTCTCACTTTCCCTTCTTGAAAATTGATAGTCAAGCGTTTTGAGATATGATCTTTTTGATTTTGAACTTATTTTGAAATTATGAGGCTGTTCTTATAATAAATTTAGCCTTTTAAATAGACAACAATTAATTTGAGATGGAGGAAGTATATCAGAGTGCTCTACTGCGATGGGACACTCATGAGTGCTGGATACATGTGGTAGTATGAGGGCATGTTATATGATTTCAACTCAAACTTGATCAAGAGGAATATGACGGGAACAATTGGTCGATTGCATGAGACATAAAGTTATCCTCTTTTGAGTTGAATATCCCTGCTTGTGTTCACTGCTAGGAGGATTGTACGGATAGATGCAGTGAGTGAATATCATGATGTCCACATACTAGGTTATCAGTAGAAACCTGACCTATGTTTGCACTTGATTTTATCTCTCGTGGCGGACCGTTGCAAACCCCATGTGCAACTAGGGGCATTTGACTAGTGCACTCAATTCTCTAATTGGACAATGTGAGTACTCGGCTAGCAGTGAGCCAAATAGACATCGCCGAGAACAGTCGATGCACCGCAGAGGGAAGTAGCTGGACATTGCTGGATGTAGCAGGGACCCAAAGGACAAGAGATAGCTTCTAGTCTCAGCATCCTCATCTTCAAGTATAGGCACACAAGGTTAAAATCGGTGGATGGTTATAGAGGATAGCAGACCTATTCACTTGCATGGTGGTTAGCAGTGATGGGTAGAGCTGGGCCAGCTCACCGGGCACCGATGAACTATATTTGGTGTGTTCTGTGGGTTGATGACGATTTGAGTGTATGATGGTATTGGAGGGTATTGGTCATATATACATTCTTGGATATAGAGGTGATCGACGGTCGCTATGTATTCGTACGAGGAAGTGCCCATCCCCCGGTCGTTAAAAATGGGGGCGCCCTGCGCATTGATCGCATTCCCTCTAGGCCCATAATAGGAGGTCGACCGAGAGCGCCCAGAGTATATTTTGTTGTATCGACGACTGTGTTGGAATCCAGGGATGACGACCCATATTAGATCAGTGGTACTCTATGATGTGGTTGGTTATTGAGGTAGAGGCCACTTGATCACACTTGAGGAGTCCTTTCTCGATTGCAGTCAGCAGTTGAGATTATGCCTGTATTGAAATTGATGTATATTGAGTTGGATTAGAAGAGATTGTTTTGATGATGGTCGGATATTTTGGCTGTGTGGTTGATATTGAGATTGATGGTTGTAACATGAGGAGGCTCATATCTGCTCCCATATTAACAATCATGACCACATTTGGTTGGGCCCAGACTAGAAGACAATCGGACAATGGCGCCAAATGTTTGACTGAGCAATTTTATTAAGGATATTGGATAGTTTTTATAATATCCTATTGTGAGACTATCTCAGATGAGGGCACAAACGAGAAGAAAGTGTGCAAAATTTGTTGATTTTTAAAATCAACACCGGATACCGGATATCCGTACCGGATAAATTATCCGTCATTCTTTTATGAGCTCTGGATATAGGAGAGAGGTAAAAAGAAAAATGAGCTACAAACACCTTTATTCTTTTTTAGATAGCAGTTGCGGCTATTCATTTTGTTTCCATGGTGCTGGGATTTTGTTGACTCAGTACAGTGGTGCATGATTTGTGTGATTGGAGACTCTAGACTGTTGATGGTGATAACGGGCTGGTTACAATGTTTACCTAAAAGGATTGTTGTGATCAGCACCGGGTGATAAGAGTTTCCTTGATTACCTCATTGTCTTTAGATCTAAATGGAGTTGAGTTTTCTTCAGTCCTTGAGACAGGAGGCTTGGTGTTGGTAAGACTGATAGTGGTATGGGACACCGGAACTTGAGGCCAAGCCAATACTTCATTGATTGATGAATGGACTAAGAAAAATAGAGGACCATGATAAATCAGTGCAGTGAGGAGTCAAAAAGTCTTTTATTGGGGTACCTTGTTATGGTGTATATAGAGATGGAATAACTAAGGTACACTGTAGTTTCAAAAAGGGAAATATACTTCGGAGAGATTCATCTGAGGGATTAGGACAGAGAGGATTATCAATAGATCTATAGGATTCGACCCATGGTCATGTATAGGATTCGACCCATTATTTGGATTTTTTTTGATTTCTAAATACTCGTAGGCTCTTTCTTTGGCTAAACCCCAAGTATGGAGTAGTTTGTGGCTTAGGGAAATCCCTATACTTAAGGGACAGGCCGTGGGGGCAGACTGAGCTGCGACGTGTCGATAGTGGGTCCGATATAGTGGCATGCCAGGCGATACAGCCATGATACATTGATATACATTATGTGGTGTCTGTATTACGGGTGGTCGGACCGGAATGTGGTCGACCACTAGTGCGTACTCGGGGGTGCGTTGCTCCCCATTCTGTTACACCGTTTGGCTCACTGCCTTGCTCCGCACGGGCGTCATGGCCCGGGGAGCCAGTTGCTTTGCACCCAACCATCTTCGAATGGCAGGACTGCCCGATCCCAGAGCGCAAGAGGGCCCACCGCGCATAGCACGAGCGAGCACCCCGATTACGCCTGCCGGGTTTGGCGGAGGGGCCATTGGCCCAACCGGGTGTAGGCAGATGAAGTGGGACGCACGCGACAAAGGGGACTAGTGGAGGCCATCGAAAAGGGCCCCGCAATAATCGAGGCTCGATGATTGACACGGCAATTGCAACTACATGCTAACTCACATAAGAAGCATAGCCATGATATAATACCTACCAAATGTGTATGTACAGGCGTCCTCTCACTCAGAAATCAGCACAACATGCTGTCCGCCTGCACATAGAACACCCGCCAATACTGAAACCCAGGTAACCAATCACAAGAGAAAAAATAACTCTGGTTTGCAATGTCAATTCATTGTTCAAAGAATATATTCCTAAATACACAAATCTTTTGATGTTGGGAATGCGTGTATCATTGATATAAGTACACACATAGAAATCCACGATTTCCGCAATGGCAAATTGCAAACCATAGTGCAAACTAAACTAATTTCAAAATCGCCACGTTAGTTATAGGTGAATTTACACATGCGTACATGGGAGTGGAGCACAGGATATGACCCGGTATCTAGATTTCATCGTTTTGGATGTGATCCTGGTGACTGACATTTGTTTGCATTTGCATTTTCAGTTTGTCATTTAACAACTGCAACCAGAACATCCGTAATTTGGATTACGCTGGCAGACGATTTTGCCAGGATGCAAATAAATTGAAGGAATGTGGGTATTTATGCAAGCTGATGAGGACGTCAAGTAGAGCGTTAAAAGCTCCAGACAGCGTCGAACGCTGTCTTGGAACCTTGCCAGCCAAGGCCAGGGGTTATCCATTCATTGCAACAGTCTGTTACTAAAGTTGTACATCCAAGAGATTTTTTGTAGGACTTCAAACAAACACGAACCACGAAAACAACTGCTGGACAGGTGCGGTTTCAGCGAAAGTCTACAGCAGCGGAATAGCGTCCAGGCCAGAAGCAACGCTGCTGCCTTGGCTGCCCAGACGGCTCACAATAGGGTTTTAGTCATTGGTAGGTCCTAAACTGGACAGGACAACACCAGCTGGGGAGCAAATTCCATGGGCACGTGTCTAGCCCATGCGGCACGGCAGTCGTCAGTGGCTGCGTGTCTTCCCAGTGCTGCACCAACTAACACAAAGGCGACCAGACTTGAGCGACGGTGAGTGAGTAGCGTCGGCAAAGGTCTTGGCCGTCCGTCCCTCGTTTAGGGCTGCACGGGTGCCGATCAATCCATTCACCACGTTCCCTGCTGTTGGTCATTGGGCCGTAGTCCTTTCTCTGAATTCAAGAACACGGATGGTAATTGCGTCATGAATTGAAAGATCGGGCTGCCTCCGGCGTCCCTTCTGCGCTAGAATGCATAGTGAAGGGCGCTGCACGCGGCAGGAAGGGGATGTCAACTCGGCATATTGGCCGGTGCTGCGATGCACCTGAACTGCATCTGGGCTGCTGGCCACAATGACCCTGGGATTTGTTGTCTATTCTCCAGGAAACCATGTCGGTTGAGGAGGGGCTGGATCTGGTCCGAAAGCACATGTCCACGGTCCGAACGGCGAGCCACTACGACAAAGTCTATAAGGATGAATGCATGTTTTCCTTTGACACGCCGTTCTCTCCTGGAGGCCTCTACATCAACCTGAACACATTCCAGGTGCCACTTCCCTGCGCTTTTGGCTTCCTTCCTGGTCCATGGAGCGTAAATTTAGGCAGTGAACAAAGCACTGAGCGCCAGGGCTCGATCACAGCTTTGCTGGGACAGGGGCTTTCCAATAAGCTGGAAAGGCAGGCTGTATGCAACCCACTGAGAAAATAAATGTGCTGTTTGAAGGCTCCTCTTTGTACTGGATATGTGAAGATCAAGAAGACAGATCTTTGTGGTGCAGCATTGGAGAGAAACTGCGGTTCTATTACTGCCAGATTGGCAATGGAGAACGGGTAGTGCTGCATTAGTTCATTGCAACGAGGTGTTCCATGTTTTGAGGTTTCTTTGATTCCATCTGCCTGCCAGGGCTTTGGTGAAGAGTATGTGGCATTGGATCATGAGAGGACCCAAAATGCGCTTTACCTGCATGAGAAATGGCACAAGGTGGGAGTGCACAATAGGCAGTTCTGACAACTATGAATTCTGATGGTCAGCTGCTTGCATACTGTTACTCCAGAAACATTGCGGAAATACATTGCCATTTCGTGTTGGTGGACCTGGAAATTATGTATCCCTGTTATGGGTGGCATGTGGACCTTTCCATGTGTGATTCTCCTTGAGGCCCATATCTTGAGCTGAGGACAAAATCTAAAGTGAGGACCTTCAGACAGTGTCGCTGTACAATATTGCAAGTTCGCATCTTTGATTTAGAGGTGGTTGTGATGAAGATGAGATCTGTGACTTTTACTGCAATACAAAGAGTCCCCTGCTCATAAATCTTGTTGAGTTGGTGCTTATATAGTGTTTGAGTGTGATCAATCCCGTCATGACTTGTAGCTGTGGGGAGAAGTGCTCATTTTACTCAGAAACAACCTGAACCTGAACCTGAACTTGAACCTGAACTTGAACCTGCCTATTTGCTGTACCCACCTGCTAACAAACAGGTTCCTTCACAGGTGCCGCTGGTTGGGGAAGCCCAGGAGAAGCTGACCACAAAACCTGATCGGCTGGCAATTGGAGGCGATGGCGGGTTTCAGGTTGATGCAGAGAAGTTTGAAGTTGAGAAGACATCTGCCTTGGTTGTGATGCCCAGCAAGAGGACATTTGCACTTCCCTGCCCTGAATTGCCTGAGGTGGTGCTGCAAGCCATAAACGCAATACAGGTTTGTTTATCCTGAGATGCTGTAGGGTTGGGAAAGCACAGTGCAGATCTTTGATAACACGCAAATTGCCGCTGCAGTGACACTTGGATGGGAAGCTGTGAGCTCTGAGCTCAACTAAACTCAGGAATGAAATTCGTCCCTTGCCTATATGAAGCATGTTGAACTCTGGGTTTGATCCTTGCTGGGTCCAAATCTTAATTTGCATGTTCATCGCTGGCCTCGATTGCAGTACCCCGCGTTGCTGTAGGGTTAGGAAAGCACAGTGCAGATCTTTGACAACACGCAAATTGCTGCTGCAGTGACACTTGGATGGGAAGCTGTGAGCTCTGAGCTCAACTAAACTCAGGAATGAAATTTGTCCCTTGCCTATATGAAGCATGTTGAACTCTGGGTTTGATCCTTGCTGGGTCCAAATCTTAATTTGCGTGTTCATCGCTGGCCTTGATTGCAGTACCCCATGTTGCTGAAGTCCGATCTATTGAGTTCTAGCCTTTTTAACTGTCTCAATTCTCCACTGATTGCCCAATGCTAACCATCTTTCTGTGCAATTTGCAGGCGCATGACAGCGCCACACTCCAGGAGCAGGTCCACGTGTGGGAAGAGGAACGACCTGTCAGCGCATATGCGATGGAGCTGGTCCAGCTGCCAGCAACAAAGACTGTCCCCATGGATCCAAACGAATGGAAGTGTGAAGAATCTGGAGTCAGGGAGAACCTGTGGCTTAACCTTTCGACTGGACACATCGGTTCTGGTCGGCAGGTGTGTGTGAGGGGGAGTTACATGTGGAGTTTGACATGTGCATGATTCATCTTGGGCACAATGGGCTCTGTGGGTTTTGTGCAGATGAGTGTGCAACAACAGAGAAGGTGCCTTCCCTCAAGGGCACCTCATCTACCAGAAGCAGGGGCAATATCTCCCATGCGTAATCTTCAAAGATATGCAACAGAAATTAGTGTGGCTGCTGGTGGAAGCCAGTAAATGCTACAGCTGCATAGATCTGTATTCCATCCAAATGCCTGTGCAATAGACTACACTGGTGTTCTTCAAACATTTCCTGTGGAGCAGTGTATTTGCAAATCATCCTGTATGGTGTTTCCCTGAACATATTGTGTGTAGGGCATAGCCAGCCCCTTAACTTTTGTAGACCAGAAGCCACCATCGATGCAAATGCACATCCAATAATGACATGACCGAAGTTTTGATGCCCACAATTGTGTTCATGACTGTCAGCATTTTGATGGGAGCGGTGGCAATGGTGCTGCTTTGCGCCACTTTGAGGACACTGGTAAGCTCTATCCACTCGTGGTGAAGCTGGGGACAATCACGCCAACAGGGGCAGACGTGTTTTCATACGCACCAGATGAAGAGTGCATGGTGGAGGACCCCAAGCTTGCTGCCCATCTTGCCCACTGGGGCATCGACATGGCCAAGATGGAGAAGACAGAGAAGACGATGACGGAGCTGCAGATCGACTTGAACATGAAGTTTGAGTTCGACCGCATTACAGAGTCAGGGGCTGTGCTGAAGCCACTCTCAGGACCAGGTTATGTAGGGCTGAAGAACCTTGGAAACAGCTGTTACATGAACAGCCTGCTGCAGGTAGGTGTTGCCGACAACATGGCACAGATGCATTCTTGGGAAGCTGCAATGCTGTAATGTATTCAGTACTTGGAGACATAACAATATATTGTCACAGTATTTGTATTGGACCACTCTGTTGTCTGTTGTTTTGCTTGGATGGTGGTATATGAGAATTGTACGAATACTGTTCACTGGCAGTCAATTTAATGACAGGGTAACGGTGCACCAAAGACCAAACATGGAAAGCAATTTGACAGGAACCATTATGTGTTCTGCCTCACTTTGTCTGGAAATTGGTTACCAGGCTGTCCTATTGTGGCAGGTGCTGTGGACGTTGCCGGTGTTGAATGAGAGGTACCGAGCCCAGGCACACAGGATATTTGCATCAGCACCGAATGACCCCTCTTCTGATTTTCCAACACAAATGACAAAACTCGGTGTAGGGCTTGTGGATGGGTGCACAGGGCACCCCCCATCCCATGACTTAGGCCAAGGTGCGATCACATGGCACTGGGCTGCACATGTTCTTGCTAACACTGCAACATTTGCACGCCAATGGCAAAAATTTGCAAGGGGTATGATGTGGACGTATGCGTCCTCCTTGCCAGTTTAAGTACTGATGAGAATGATCCAGCGAGCAGCTTGACAAGAAAGTGGATGGCAACTTATTGTCGAATTTCAATAGCCATGATAGAATTTCTATCAAATCAGTTCAAGGGAAACTTGGCTGGCATGAATAATCAAAGGGGGTTCACAGGTAGTGTTGGGCTGGGCGAGTCTTTGTTTATCTACTGATGTTAGCTGCATTGTCACATTTCCTACCCATCTGTTTGTGTGGCTATTCATTGTTATTTATTAAAATTCTGGATAATGTGGCTTCCTGTTGCCTGCTATGGGTTGAGTAAAATGGGGCACTTGTGTGGTTGGCCTTGGAATGTGGTGCTATGCTGGTGGCATACTATCATGCCATTACCTGCTATGCTAGGTGATGAATGGAGTGTGGGGAGGTGCTCTGGCAAGAACCAGGGAACAGCTCAGGTTGTAAGTGGTGGCATCTTGCAGGATTCAACCTGAAATTGCATTGTATAGCGAATTTGGTACGAGATGTGGCACGAGTTCACCAGTGTCACTTGTTCACAATTGCATGGCACCTGCACTTGAATGTTATTGAACCAGTCAACATGCATGCCAGACACAGTCATCAGGCACTTGGTTTGAGGCAAGCAATGGAAACATAATAGGGAAAATCAACCAGCAGATGAATAGAGCCATTCAATGTTGGTGTTGCTGTCAGACGTGGTGGACGATGGCGGCGATGACAAGGTGGACCAGGACAAATGCAGTGTGCGCCCGCAATTCTTCAAAACTTTGGTTGGACGAAACCATGCCGAGTTTGCAACAATGAATCAACAGGATGCAGGGGAGTACTTCAGGCATGTCCTGAAAGTCATGGATGTCGCTGAGCAGGGCGCTGTTGACAGGCTGCAGTTGAGTGGACAGGTAATGCGGTGGTGCACCTGAGCATAACATTTGAACGACATCGTGGCAGCATCACTGGCACAATGGCAATGAATGTGTGTAACTTGTGCTAACCGTATGCAGTGCAGCTGCAGAGTCGTTTACCTTCTGATACAGTTAGCATCTTGACAGCAGAATTGATCTGTGCTGAACAAGTTCCTGTTGGAAGGTTTTGGCACAATGATAATGACAATAGCGCAATGATGTACCGGTGAATAGAGCCACTGGTGTTATATTATTTCGATGCAGAGAGTATTTCTCCCTCAGTTGTCTGTGCCCTTGAAGTGCTGGCGTCACTTCTGGTTCGATTGCCGAGATTTTGCAAGTTTTTTTTGGAAGCAGCATATTCTCCTTGTGAATTTTTTCTTCGAACTGTAGTTTGTTTCCACATTACATAACTCCAGTACTGATGTTTGCACAATTTGTTTTGTATATGTGACGTTTGCCCTGGTACTTTGTCCAGCTCCCAACCAGCTCAGACTTCAAGTTTCAGCTGCAAACTCGCACTGAGTGCCAGGAGTCTGGGCACGTCAGCTACAAAACAGAAGTAGAAAACATGCTGGCTCTTAAAATCCCCTTGGAGGCTGCCACTAACATGGACGAGGTTGAAGACTATAAGGTGAGAGAACTTTATTGAGAAATGCGGACAAACGCAGCTTCGAGCTGGGCACAAGGCTTGCTGACTTGCAGCACTACGAATGTCAAGATATGTAATTGTTTCTGAAGCAATGGCAGTCTGATGAACACGGATCGATGCATGGATTCACTGGTTGATTGATCTTGGTGGAGAATGATTGTCCAAGGTAGTGGTTGCCTACAGCAGCAACCATTGTGGTTTGAATCCACTCCTGATAAGCATCATTTATTGTTGCAATGAAAGTTCTGCAGGTTTTTCACAATTGGACAGGCGAATGCGTGTCGCCTCTGTTGTTTTGCCAGGGCAAAATCGTTATTTTGCCTGCAGCTTGAGCGCAGCATCGTGGAGCAAACAGCAGCATTCTGTGCCCCACGGAGCCTTCCCCAGCCAAAAAGGAAAAAACAATGCAAGGGATGCAGCAGAAGTGATACAGGAAGTGTATAGCCATCCCTCACTGTGGTGCACAGCTCTTGGTTGTTGGGTCCACTTTGTTTCAAATTTGCAAAATAGACAAGAATGCAATTGCTAGGCTGCTAGGCCTGGCCTAGACATGGAATAACAGCGACTATGAGGATGCCACAGTAAGGCTCTGTGTTTGCATCACCATCTGCTCATTCTGTGCCGGGTTACTTTCAGGAGCTGATGTCGGTGAGGAAGAGCTGCAATTGTTTGCAATCCACTGTTGTATACATTTGACTTGCACTTGACATGCACTTGACCCCATGAAGGTTTTGGAGTACAGCATCCTGACACATGCATTGGAGGCCCTAATTTCCCACAATTGCTCCATGCGGCTGCAGAAAGTGATGCAGGACCTACCACGGCATTTGAGGTTAACAGTCCGTACATGGTTTCATGCAGGAGCGGGAATTGAAGCGCCAAAAACTCAAAGAGGCGCCTGGAGACGGTGAAGCCGAAGTGGTGGCTACATGCCCCAGTGCTGCCAAGGATGACAAAGAGGAGAAGATCGTGCCAAAGGTACTTCCACTGGGGCCTTCCTGTGGCCATGGTTTTGTGTACAGACCCAAATAAATGATATGATTGGAAGAACATGTGCGCTGCACACCGGGAGCCATTGCACAGTGCTGCAAGTGCAGCTCTGCGGCACTGTGTGTTTTGGTAATGTCTGATACATTCCAGAGCAAGCTCTGTGCAGAGTGCTGTGCTGCTGCAAGACAAGTGGTAATGTTGTAAATGACTTGTCAGAAAAAACATGTTCAGTGCAAACGATAGCTGTACACTGTCATGTGAAGGAGATCCATATGGTCTGTGGTTCCGATTCAGAATGTTGGGGACTCCCTTGCAACAGAATCTGCTGACTTGCAGTTTCAATGCCAAGTGTCCTAACTATTGATTCCTTCGGTTGGCTGGGCAATTTTCATCTCTTTCAGCCGTTTGACTGTGCTGAGGGAAGGTTTACTGCAAGGGCAGAAAGGTTTTGTTGATTTTTCAAGTGGACAAAGCTTGATGCCAAATTTTTGACAGATGCGATCACAGCAGAGTTGCTTCACTGGTACAGGTGCCCTTCAATTCTTGCCTGGAGCAATTTGCGGCTGATGAGTTGCTGACAGGGTATTACAGTACAGCTTTGAAGGCCCACACTGACAGGGCTCTCAAGAGGACACGTTTTGCCACTTTCCCGAAGTTCCTCATGGTGCAGATGAACAGGTGAGCTGCACTGCCATTTGCTGCTTTTCAGGGCTTGCACCAGTATATTGAGAACTTTGTGATGCTATTACGGACTGTCTCAGTTCGACTGGTCTCAATGTGTGCTGTCCCCGGTGCACTTGGAGTCTTTTGTGTCATCTCTTGCGATAATGAGCAATCTCTAAGGTTCTTGTTGGGCAATGGGGGTGCCCTTTTATCCTTTGTGCCTACAAATAACCTGCAAAATGGAGAGTAAGGTGTCAAGAGGTGTTCACCATTTGGACACATGTCAATGACGCAGTTCGCGTTTACGCAAGGTATGTTGGTGTGGTCAGAGATGAACAGGGTGTTTGAACTGCTATTGTGAGCAGCATGCCAACGTCCAATTTCTCAAACATTCAACTTGTGTTGATGTGCAGCACACGTTCCAGACGGACACATTTTTGACGAAACATTCCACCAAAATCACGACCTGGAATGGTGACTGACTGTGTTCTGAGGGCTTGGATAGTGGCTTTGATACTTGGGCTGGGCGTTGCTGGTTGACCCTGCAGGGTACAGTGTCTTGAATGTTTTCCAGCTGTCAGTACGTTCTCAATCAGCATGAACTGGAACAACTGGTGGCACAGGTACTATCATGACGAGATGTGGAATCCAAAGAAAATGGAGGTGCTTGTTGACGCCCCTGACGAGCTTGACCTAGAGCAACTGAGAGGACATGGAGCGCAGGTTGGTTGCCAGTTAATGACTGCAGAAGGCATGCCTACGTCCGAGTGAAAGAGCCTTTGCAAGGGGAATGACTGAGAGAAAGCTCAGGATTCATCATGTAGAGATGCGCATTATGCAGCGAATGTGTATATCCAGTATCTGTGCTAATTGAACTATGCCTGCCATTGCCTTACAGGTGCACTAGCAGTGCTTGTGATGTGGTAGCAAATGCAATGAAACAGATTGCCTCTGTTCAATGTGCCTTTTGCAGTTGTGTGAAGCTCTCCTGAGCACCCCAAAAAAGCAAAAGAAAAGAAAAATAAATAAATTGCATTCAAATCTGTCAAAACGGCATCAGACTTTCTACAACTTCATGGATAAGTGCATGGATATAAGGCACAGCCAGGTGTGCAGCACCATGGTGGTCTGCTGTTGGTCAATAGTTCCGAACAGCAATGCTAGGAACTATGTAGTTGAAGTGTGTACGCAATGGAAAAACCGCATTTGAAGTGCTTGAGGCAATGTTCTGTGGTAAGATCCTGCCTGCCATGTGGACGAGGGCATGTTCACAAGGAGATTGAAACTGGCAACTGTTCTAAAAAATGTCTATGTTCTGCAAATTCGCATTGTCATGGTGGTGCAGCCCGATGAAAGGTTGATGCCTGAGGACGTCGACGTCCAGCATGATGCACCAGCAGGGCACCCTGTGCCTGACGCCAGCCTTGTAGCTGCCCTGGTGTCGATGGGTTTCTCTGAAAACGCCTGCAAGAGGGCTGTGCTTCAGAACAACAATGGTGGCGTGGAGGCCTGCACAGAGTGGATCCTCAACCACATGGATGATCCTGATCTCAATGAGCCGCTGCCTGGTGAGCCCGTAGTATTCGACATGGCTTTGGGGCCCTGTCTACTGAACAGCGGATGTGGTTGATGTTGATGCTTTGTTGATGCTGAGCAGAAGAGGTGTGATCGGTGCCTATTGCAAGGTTACTGCAGCATCTCTTGTCGTTGCTGTGATCACATGGCTAACAATTGCCAGGAAAGTTTGCTTTCCATGGCAGGGTCACTTTTGCTACAGTTTTGAACGCAAATATTGAGAATAATTCCTTTTCTGGCGGTCAGAAAAGTTCTCTTTTGGCGCTTTGTTTCCACGATTAGTTTTGCATAATTGTGTATCCCCAGCATCGGCCACAAGCTGAAAGGTTGCTGATCGGGCTGTGGGCAACAAAAGTTTCTACTGCTGTTCATGCAAAGCATGCAATGAACACGCCATGTTCGCAAATTGAACCAGCACAAACGAACAGACGCAAGTAAAGCGTTGGCAGCGCAGTGACGCACTTCGACTGTGTGCCCGCTGCCCAGAAGAACGGTCGACCCAGCGGGCCGCAGAGCCCCTGCAGGAGTCGATTCAGATGCTGTCGTCAATGGGCTTCGATGCCCAATCGGCCAAGGCGGCCCTCCTTTCCACCGACAATAACGTGGAGAGGGCGGCGGACTGGCTCATCAGCAGGATGGACAACCTGGAGGCCGCCGTGGCAGAGGTGCTGCAGAGGGAGGGGCGTGCGGAGGGGCATGTGGCCCCCGAGGGCAGCGCCGGGCTCAGCAACGCGGTTGATGACGGGCCTGGGCGCTACACCCTCGTGGGCTTCATCAGCCACATTGGAGCCAACACGGCGTGCGGGCACTACGTGTGCCACATCAGGAAGGACGGGCGATGGGTGCTGTTCAATGACGAGAAGGTCGCCCTCTCGGAGTCCCCGCCGAGGGACATGGGGTACATGTACATGTACAGGCGCGCGGATGTGCAGTGATGCGGCTGCCGATGGCGCGTTTTAACACGCATTCTTGCGGTAGGCGGTAAGATTCGTGAATATTACATGCAATCGAGGCCAGATCCCTCCTTTCTTCCCAACATTGAAGGGAGATATAGGTGGGAAGCCCCGGGACAGATCAGTGCGCTCACACATTTGAGCTTCATGTAGTGTCAACGTGGCGTGGTACATGCGCTGTGGTATACCACATACGTATGTGCCTGGGACTTAGACGGGAATCCACCCCAAGCGTATGTGGCTTGCTATACGTTGTAGTAACTGAACGGAACGGTGTTTTGGGGGCAGAAATGTTGGCTTGTGTGGACGCAGACGAATTGGCAATGGAGGGTGTAGGCACGTGCACTGCCCTGGTACACCCCAAGGTAAATTCCGTTGGCATGGAATGGTTGGGGAGCACCCACAGTTGGGAATCGGGTGGCCTTGTTGTCCACGTGACACCGCGATAATGGAATGTCTAAGGTACAAGTTCAGCATTACTGCGATCCATTTGATCACGCTGCTTTATCCCTGCTATTGAGCTGAGCATTGCTCGAGCAAGTCTGCCTTTTGGCTGTGAAGGACCAACGAAAAATGGCCTGAGGCGGCAGGAAAATCTCCTTTCAACGGCACTACAAGTTGAAGCTATTGCAAATTGTCCTGATGCGTATCCTTTTATGAGCGGCCCCGGCTGCATGTTATCATTGCCATAAAGTCCGTCACCCATAATCCCAACATCGCCCTCTTGTAATGCCAACTTGGCCTATTGCAATGCCTCTCAGCATGCATCTTGAACGCGTTTACCCTGCCCCTCTAATGTCAAAGGGCTCATCAAGGGCTGTAGTAACCTGTTGTGGTATCGCATATATATGCGACTTCACTGCCAGATATGGAGTATGCCACCAGATCAATTGCAGAAATGAGGCAAAGGTGCACCATGCAAATGGCCAGTTTGTGTCATAACCACACAAAATATCCTCTGATGTACGGAGAACAGCTGCATCGGCATTGCATTACAGTATTATTACAGCATGTGCAACTTAAAATTGCAAGAAGGAAAGTTCAGAAAAAGCCGGTAGTATAGTGGATCAAGTTCGAACTTGATGGGATTGTTCTTTCTGGGAATTCCGGAAGAAAATGTCTCCGGGAATTCTTGGAAAAATGAAAAATTCATTCAGGAGTACACTAATATTACAATGCTGTGTCAGTATGCCGTATTGTTTATGCTGTAGTGCAGCATGCTTTCTCGCTTCTTAGAAATGCTTAGTCACTGTCGATGCTGAGCTCCTGGCTGGTACAAGGCGTTGCGTCGCTCAGTCAGACACATGCTGCAACCTTGTACAACACATTTAAGCATGTGGCAACATTGCCTGTCGCAGATTTAGCAAATAGAATGTCAAAGACAAGAACAAGCGCTTCCCCAGCCCCTTGATGACAAGGCTAACACGCTGTAACCAAAAGGATATCAGTCAACGCATGGCCGCTACAGTCGTCGTCGGGGCTCTGTTCCACTCCCATGGTCTGATCGAAATCGAAGAAGTGTTTTATCAACTTAGGCTAGTCCACGATGTCTTAATTCAATTTGAAGCGAACGTCTTAATAGACCGCACCTGCCCAGCTGAGTCAGCTTCATCCCTAACACGGGGTGTTCTTGGCGGCGACTATGGAAAATGGCCTGTGCGCCAACTCTGCGACACTGACAGCCGGCTCCTTCCAACCCTTCCATGAATATGCAATTCAGCACACTTAAGTGTCGACACTCTAATATACAGCATCCCTTTGCCAAATGTACTTGTATGTTGGGAGAACTCCAACCCTGGGTGTACCACAACAACACATCGGTCTGTGCCTGTGTGCTGCCCACGCTTGCCGTTTCCCGAGCTACTCAACACATGCCTCATCCTCCGTTTGATTTTCCGCCATGTGCTCGTCACTTGAGCATCGATCGTCCTGGGATGTATCCCGTCCAGTTTGGCCAATATCGTTCCGTGAGTCTTTGAACGGGCGCCCCTCCTCCGCGGCCAGCTCCCTTCCCAATTCCATGACGAGGGGCTGCCAGATCCGAACTCGTGCGTTGATGAACCAGTTGGACACTTGCGCTGTCGGCAACCACACAGCATCCCGGCACGGGCATGTCAAGTCTAGATCACACGCTAGGCTCGCTCGCCAAGTTGGCTGTCGTCCATTTTGGATCAGAGCCAAAAGGAAGTGCCCGCTTTCCAGGATCTTCAGCGCAGTTGTGCGTCGATTCCAAGGGGAGTAATTTAGCAGTCACAACTCTGCAATGTTGGCTTTTGATGCGTCACGGCCATTTCCACACAAATGACATGAGCGTCCTGTCAGGCAATGGTGTGGTTGAATACTGAGCACTAGAATCGTATGATTTGCTACTGGAATATCATTTTCCATGCGGCATGTTGCAATTTGACTTAATCACAGCTCAGCGCGGGATGGTGCTGGTGGAGGCAGTGTTCAAGTTGATCAAGGCGTGGAATACTTGGCAATGCGTATGCTCCAGGGCAGAATGACAAGAAGAGCTGCTGCCACCGTGGCTGCAACTTGCGCAGAACCAAAAGAGGAAATGCAATGTCTTGCATGGCTTGGTTGGCCTATATTCCGTAAAGACAGCAACATGCCACATCCCTCTTGTACCCGCGCTTTTAGACAAATTCGCCAGCTTCACTAGGCACAGAATCCGCCATGTGTACTTACTCTTTGTCATCCCGGTGACGGCGGCCAGCAGCTTCTTGTCACGATCTGAAGGATCTGTAATGGCCATGAGCAATGCACTGTCAAAAGACATAAAACGGCACATCACTTGCCACAAGCGCCACACTGCTTGTCCAAGGGCGGTTGGCCCCACCTATGTTAGCGGCATGCAAGCAAGAAACTGCGGGCATGGAAGGAGTTGGCAATGCAAGCAAGTTTTCTTCATACTTGCCGTACAATAATCTTGGGCCAGAATATTTTGATACCACAAGGAATAGCAGCACAGCCGAGCATGCGATGGCGCTTGTGAGGAAACACGCCAATGGCCGTCGGCTTGGTGCAACCACAGTCCCAGAAACTCACATGGCCTGTCGAACCTCTGAAGAAGCCATTCCTTCAGCACCATCCTTGGGTTCTGCTTGTGTTCCTGGCCCAGGCTCTTCCAATATTTCACATCCTCAATGGGGTGATGTTCTCTATCTTCCGTGTCCGTCGCGGCTGTGGTGGATGAGCTCAACAGGTGCATCACGGACCGAACGAGTGTCTTCAGGCGCCTTTGTATTTGCAGAGGAAGCGGACTCGGCGGCATCGGCAAGGCATCAAACCCCATGATCGCGCTGCTCTCATTGTGGATGCTCTGTACTCACAAAAATTGTCAAGGACAATGAATCTAAATACGGGATACTGCGGTAAGCGGAGCCCATTGATCAGTTCTCATAGTGAGCATTCACTTTTCCGCAATTGCGGCGAAGAGGTAGATAGCCATAAGCCACGTCATCGTCAATGCGCACTCATGGCAAACTGGCGCAAACACCGAGTTTGGAAGTGAGAATATCATTCGTCTATCCGTGCCTGAAAAATTTCATCAATGCTGCCAATAGAATCGTGCACGTTTTCACAGCGGGGAGCAAAGGACAATGGTACCATTGATTGATGCGCCAAAGGGGATCAGCCATGAGGTGGGCGTTGCAATAACCTGGTATTGGCTGTAGCCATGGCCGCACATTCGAAGGCTGGCAATGCTGCGGCAAGCGATATGGCAGTATTGATGATATGAGCAATATCACGAGCTTTAAAGATTTTGAGTTTTTACAGTCGCCGCCATCTGCCAATTCAAACTGTCGCTTAAACGAAGAAGTTGACAGGTTGATTGACCCATTACGGAAGCGGTCGTTTCGTGACGCTGATTCCACATAGCCATACCTGGATTGCCTCGAAGCTGGAGGTCCACCAACTCTCCATGTTCGCAAGCAATTCCGTGAGGAGCGATTTTTGTTGCGGCGTGAGGCAACGTGGCGGACTGATGGATGCCACAAATTCCATGACATCCGCTTCCGATACATCCGGCGTGCGTCTCATGTAGTGAAAGTCGGCTCCGAAACAGTGATGCAAAACCGCCGCTTTTAAATCACTGCAACTGCAGCCCAAAGAATAATCTCGTGCTCAAGTGAACATGTCCATCTATTTCTATCCTCTGCCATTAAATTGCCAACTTTGCACAATTCCGACGGTCAATAGACAATACTGAAGAGAAACCAAAGGACCCTGTGAGCCTGGCAACCGCACTTTGCAAATGTGTGCCATTTGAAAGGAACATTCTCTTCAGGAGTCATAAGGTTACGAAGAAGTGTCACATCGACGCTTCGCATATCTTTTCTCGATGAGGATATTATTAATGTGCCATGCATGGTGGCACAATAGTGATGAAATTCCTTGCAATGTAGCAAGGGTAATGGTTCTGACAGTGTAAGATTTCGAAGAAGCAACGCGTCAACATGCAAACTCTGAATTGGGCGATTGCAGCGGTGCCAAGAGTCAGGAAGAAGGGGGGCTGTTTGAAGTAGTTCGATAATTTGAGGATTTTGGGGGCAATGAAGTTTCGTGTTGCGCGCTGTAACTGGTGCTCAGAAGAACAGTGCCAGCGACTTTCTTGCTCGACAACGGTTCATTTGCCCACGATTTGGGCACGCGCAACTCTGAGTTCAATTCCATTTCTGCATCCACTGAAAAGATGCATGGGGAATCCACCATGATCAGCCCCGTCGTCGGCCTGGATCCCATCTTCATGACCTCAAAGTCCTCGGCAAGATCATTCGTGCTTGTTTATACTGCCGGCAGCATGCGTGTTTGTAAATCCGTTAAAGACCGCGCTGCTACTCGCATCGAAAGACCACGGCATGTTCAATTCCCACACACCCCACGCAGGGGGTGCGTGCCACCCACATCAATGGGCAGGGGTGCATCCAAGCACGATCGCGCACGCATCCTTCCCCCAGCGAACCCTCCCTCGCCTT